GTGGGGGTAAAATCCAGGGATGGAGCTTGACCCTGGGGGAGGTCAAGGCCACACCGGAGGCCGGGGTGTGCCTTGACGACTTGGGGACCCCTGGCATGGAGAAATGCCATGCTGTTTTTAGAGTGCAGGGGTCTCACATGGAGGCCTGGATGCAGGAACCATGGGGGCTGGGGATATGGGAGGGGGGCCGGGAGGCATTGGGACCTGTGAGTGGGAGCTGGGGTTGGGCGGACTTCTGGGGTGTGTTGGAGGAGGGGGTGCAGGTGCTCCAGTCTAGGTGGGTGGAGGTGAAGCCCTGGGGTGGGGGAGACAGAGATCACCTGGTGTCTCCGGGACAGGTGTGGTGGTGCGGTAATAAGGTCAGTCCAGGCAGGGGCAGACTTCTTTGGCGGGAGCAATTTGGACAGGAGGATATTTTTCCTGACCGATGCTTGGGCTGCCTTGGAATTGACGGGTGGCCGCTGCTGGAGGGCAGGTAGGGGCCCAGCCCCTGGGGGCTCACCCGGGAGCCCCAGAGGGCTCACCCGTGGGTCCCCAGATCCACTTGGGCAGATCCTCGTATTTGAAAGTCCTCAAAGCCTGTTGAGTAAATGGAGGAGTGGGTGAGTTGGGCAGTCTCCACATTTTACGAAGGAAGGAACCATTCACTGAAGCCCTGAGATTCGACTCTGTTCTGCAGGCGAGAGGTAGGCGTCCCATGGACGATCACTACCCACCCTGGTCTCACATCTCAGAGGAAAAGCAAGGAGCATTCCCTCTTCCCCATTTTTTGAGTCGTGGTCTCACTCTGTTACCTGGGTTGGAGTGCAGTGGCACAATCACAGCTCACCACAGCCGCGACCTCTTGGGCTCAGGTGATCCTTCTACCTCAACCTCCCAAGTAATGGGGACTACAGGTGTGCGCCACTGGGCCCAGGTAATTTTGAGTGTGTGTGTGTTGGAGTCTCACTCTTGTTGCAGCCTCCGCCTGCTGGGCTTAGGTGATCCTTCTGCCTCAGCCTTCCAAGGAGCTGGAGCTACAGATGCATGCCACCATGCCCAGATAATTTTTTGTCATTTATTGTAGAGACAAGGTCTCACCGTGTTGCCCAGGCTGGTATCAAACTCCCGGGCTCAGGCAATCCTCTCACCTTGGCCTCCCGAAGTGCTGGAATTACAGCCCAGCTAATTTTTTTTTAATTGGAGTCTCACTCTGTCGCCCAGACTGGAGTGCAGTGGCCACTCCCGGCCACCGCAGCCTCAACCTGCTGGGCTCTGGCGATCCTTCTGCCTCAGCCTTCCAAGTAACTGGAATTACAGGTGTGCGCTACCACGCCCGGCTAATTTTTTGATTTATTGTAGAGTTGAGGTCTCGCCAAGTTGTCCAGGCAGATCTCGAACCCGTGGGCTCAGGCAATCCACTCACCTCAGCCTCCCAAAGTGCGGGATTACAGGCTGAGCTACCGAACCCAGCTCAGCTAATTTTTTAAAAGTGTTTTTGTGGAGACGAGGTCTCACTATGTTTCCCAGGCTGGTCTCGAACTCCTGGGCTCAAGCAATCCTCCCGCCTTGGCCTCCTGCAGTGCTGGGATTACAGGCATGAGCCACTGTGCCTGGCCTGGCATACCCTCTCTTACCTCCCCTTCCACCTTCTCCCCCTCGATCACCTGACTTCAGCCACACTGGGCACCTCACCGTGCCGTAGACACACAGGCACCTTCCTGCCTTAGGGCCTTGGCACTGATCTCCTAACATCCCCTGGCTGGTTCCCTGCATCTCCCATGAGTCTTTATTTAAGCCACACCCGAGAGGCCTTCCCTGGCCTAATGAAAATGTCAGTACCCTCAACCTGACATCCCCTGTCTCCAGTTTTATTTCTCCCCCTGGCATTTATCACCGTGTAACATAGTATATAATTTACTTCTTTATCTTTTTATCTGTCTCCTGGGATTAGAGCAGCTCAGTCTGATAGAAATAGAATACAAGCCAGATGTGTAATTTACAAGTTTCCAGTGGCCACATTTAATTTAAAAAATAAAAATAAACAGGTGACATTAGTGCTAGTGATGTATTTTATTTAATCCAACATATCTAAAATATTATCATTTCAACATGTCATCGTATGTGAAAAATATCAAGGCCGGGCATGGCGGCTCGCTCCTGTAATCCCAGTACTTTGGGAGGTTGGAGGCAAGAAGAATTGCCTGAGCTCAGGAGGTCAAGGCTGCGGTATCTGTGATTGTGCCACTGCACATGGCCTGAGCGACAGAGTAAGACTCTGACTCAAAAATAAAAGAGAGAGAAAAAGATCCATGAGCTATCTTTTTGCGGTACCATCTTTGAAATTTGGTGTCTATCTTACACTTAGTGCCCACTTAGCCACTTAGTGACTGTGTTTCAAATGCCCAGTAGCTTCATGATGCTATTTATTTATTTATTTATTTTTTGAGTTGGAGTCTTATCTGTCGCCCAGACTGGAGTGCAGTGGCTGCTCCCGGCCACCGCAGCCTCGACCTGCTGGG